CTGTCCCAGGACTGTGATCTTGGCACACACCTGGGTAGACTTGGCTGAGGTCTGATCTTTGAGTTCTGCTGATCTCGTTAACAGGTCTGAATTAATAATGGCAGAGAGTGATCCACCAGGATCGTGGATGCCGAAGCATCCTGGTGTCGTGGTATGTTGCAGTGGGTGTTTGTGAGGTTGCAGGTGGGAGTGGAGGCGCCCGTGCCACGGGTGGTGCTGGTACGTTACCTATTGACGTGCTGAGTTACGTTCTGTTTAAAGGCATCCACAGCCTGTGTCTGATCAGGGGTCTGGCCGCGCTTGAGCGAGGAGTTCCGGTAGGGATATCCATTAGCTGATGATAGCTGCAAAGGCGAACATGGAGGCAGTGTTACAGGAATGGGAGAAGCTGTGGCAGAGAAAAGGGAGTGGTAGTGGTAGATGACCCATGGCCTGGAAGCTTCTGGTCACGATGAAGTGCACACTAAAGAAATGTTCTTCAGGCCAACCTGTATCCCTGGGGCTCAGTCATGGCAGAGCATCCCATTTCCTGTTGGTCAGGAGGTGAGGCTGATTATTGCTGCCCTTTTCTGGCCTTATTTGCTTTCTGGATTTAACTGGAGCGACCAGATCCAGCTCAGTTTTGAGCTGACTACTTGTTACACACCACCTCAAACTCCACGATCCATCTCTTGCTCTGAAAAAGGGGGAGAGAGGGAAGGGAAGAGAAGAGAGGATGCCTGGGGACACGCGACTAACCTCTTCTTGCAAGTGTCCGATGTCTATTTCCCAGGGAGCTCCGCGGAAGATTTCCACGGGCGGTTCCCAGCCGTTGCGGAATTTGGGGATGTAGGTGGGGATGTTTGCTTCTCGGGGCCATTCAGCTCTAGGACATGAAGTGGGGAAAATGTGGTGAGATTCACGTGGAATGTGTCTCTGAAAGCGTGTCAGGGAGAAGAGGGGGCATCAGGGCATCCTTGACCCTCTGACACGGCTATAAACCCAAGCAGCCCCTCTGCCTTTCTCAAGAGCCTGGGGAGCCTGGTGAGGTGGCAGCTCTGTCCTCACCTGGATCTGGTCCACGTCTCTCCCAGGGAGTCCCAGAGGTTGATCTCTTTCGGTGTGAGGTGTCCTCTGAGGAAATCTGTGGCGTCTTTAGAAAGCAGTGGGCTGACAACAGACCTGGCAAGCTCAGTGCTACCACAGCTATTGACGATCTGGATTACACACAAATATGAGAGATTTTGCAGGAAATGTTCAAAATACCAAACCAGCAAACCCACAAAGGGATGGAAGTCAGACAGAAAAATGAGCGGCTCGGATCCTTTGGGGTCTCTATGCCTGCCCACTCCAAAGGAAGCCAATGTACCTTCCATAGGGAGTACCTCAAAAACCAGGCTCATTCCCATGAGACTTGCGCTTCCTAAGTTCTCCTCTATGCCTTCATATGTAAGGGTGAGGTTTCACAAGACAGATGAACTAAAGTAATGGTTTGCTGCCACCTAAAAGGGAACTGTGTTCCCTCAGCATCCCCTTCTTACCCGTGCACTGCACTGATAGGCAGATTTCATTAAGAAAAAGCAAATAGACAGATAAGGCAAATAGTTCCTGACTCAGTTCTCCAAGGCATAAGATGAAAGCCAGAGGGCAAGGTTTCACGCCAAGGGATGGCCTGACTCCTGTTGGCAGCAGCTAATCCTTAGATGAGCTCAGTTGACTCAAGAAAATCAACCTAAATCTTTGAAGAAGGCTGGACAGTGCAGAGGAACACAAGAATTTCTATTGGAGTCAAAGCAAGGTCTGATCTAAAAATTAGGTGTTGTTAGAGACGGGGTGCATTGCAAGCTGGCACTTTAAAAAATGGAAAATACTTGATATTTCTGTATCCCTTCTGTCCCCCTCTGTTTTTTCAAGTTGTGATTTCTGCTTCCTATTTCAGTGCAAATATTGAGCCGTGACTGCTTGCAGGTGTGATCGGGCAGCTTCCCGATGGGAACCGTAGCTGGCTGGCGCTTTTGTTCGCAGTAAGCCTTTATTAATGGGGTGGAAAGATTCATATTTGCTAGGGTTTGTGTATTTAGTTCAAGCTGGAAATCAGACCAGAGGCCAGAAACACTGGCGTTGTTGCTTCTAGACTTTACTGAGGAGGCTTTAGCCAGTTGTGAGCGGACTTCTAACTCTACTAGATGATCTCCAGAGGCCCCTTCCAACCCCTACCATTCTGTGATTCCTCTGCGTAACCTCGCTGCCTGTAAGCGTGAAAGCAGAAATAAAAAGTGAGTTCACAGTGAAACCTGTGAATAAGGTTTACCAGTTCCAGGGGCCCAAACAGGAAATGCACCAACTCTGAAGCGCTGGGGTTCTGGATGTGCTTTCTCAGTTTGGCCTGAAAAGCAAAAGGAAACCCAGTTTAACCCTAACCTGATTTTGCCTTCTCTTTTTCTGTCACGTGGAGGGATTGTTGGTGACTGATATTTGCCACCTCCAAGACTCAGTTCTGGTCCTGAGCAGGCAAAAAATACGCATATTTGCTTCTGAAAGAGAAGGCTGGAGCTTGGTGTCCTGCATCGAGGTGGTTTACAGTCTCTGTGGTTTCCTCACTGATAATGTCTCAGGAAGGGTCTTGTTAGGCTGCGTTCGCTGGGCGAGTTTGGCCGGAGCTGACAGAATCCTGTCTCGCCTACTTCACTAAGCAGAGCTGGCAGCACTGGGACATCTTTACGCTTGTGCTTTTCATCCCCTCCTTAAGCTGGTAGCTCCTCCAGGGGAGAAAGAGAGGAGGAGCCAGGAACCTCAGGGCAACGGGGGACCCCAGTTGTTGTTAACCGGAGACTTTCCAGGACCCTGGCTGAGGCAGCTTTACAGCTGCTCTGTAGGCAGAGTTGGAAGAGAACAATTGAAACTAGATAAGACTTTTTTTTTTTTAAATATTTGCAGTCCTCCGTTTTGCCCTTTGTAGGGATAACAAGGACTCAGGCTCTCTCAAAACTACCCAGACTTTTAAAGGCCACAAGCAGAAGTGAATATCTGGAGTGGGGGTGTCTGTATAAGCCTTTGCACAGCTACCGGCAAGGCGGGCACAGCAGTGCTTGGCTCTCTAAGCTCACGGCTTCACAAATGCTTTAAGTCAGGACTGTATCTGAAAAGAGCGAGGCATTGCAAGGCCCCTGGCTGCTCAGTCCCATCCTGGACTCTGTGCTTCTAGTTTTAGTTTAACAGCTTGGCCCGGGAAACCTGGACAAGCCTGACACAGTGGTTGTTCCGGATTCTGAAGAATCTGGAATTCACACCTCTGTCCCTTGATAGTGTTTTCGGTTCAAATTTCCCTTTAAACGCTTACTACTGGGATGTATGGGGAAAAAGCCCTGTCACCGCATGGGACAAAAATACCGTCTGTGTCTTACCAAGAGGTTAAAAGCCAGTTTGGTTTTCTGGAAGCAGTCGATGAACTCAGCCTCGCTTGGGGGTCTTGCTCGAAGAGTCAGCATGCCCTCTTTCATGAGAAGGTGGAGAGAAAGACACTTTAATTAGAACATCCCTTTTCAGGAAAGTTTCGTCTTGCTGGCATGCAGAAGACACAACAGTAATGTGTGCTGAGACTAGAACTACTGAAAATCAAGGGTTCAAGAAAAGCCAGAAGTCTTTCTCTGTGTTGGAGGTTTCACTAAGCTCTGTGTGCTCTGCAAGAGGTCCCCCACAGACCAGCAGCACCTTCCAAACTGGTGTAGCTGCTGTTGGGTCCATAGCCGTGCCGCTGCATCCATCTGACCTTGCTAGGATGTGAGCTGAGGACTCCTCCCAACTTCTTCCATGCCCCTGCGTGCCCCGTTTGTTCTGGCTGCTACACCCTACCTGCTGGCCCTTTCTTCTTGTTCTTCTTCCCTTTCTTCCTTTGGTTGAGCTGTCTGAAGGCCTCTGCAGCCTTCTGAAGCCTGGCGACGAACACTTCGATGTCATCCAGAGTGCAGTTCAGGATTTGCTGTGAGGACAGAAATGCAACAATCCAAGGTGAAAGAGAGCCCAAACTGCTGGGAAGCCCGGATCCCAGGGTGTGTTGCTCCCGGCCTGCTCCATTTCCTGGAAGAATGCACAGGGATGGGGAATCCAGGCATGAAATGCAGCTGAATTCATCCTTCCCAAACACAAAGCTGGGGCTGGTTGTGTGCTGCGCTTACCAATGTGACAAGTGACCCCTGCTAATGGGGAAAATAACGCCAAGACCGGACTGTGGGCTGGGGAGGAGCAGAGCTTCTGAAATCGGTGGAGCTGCCGCAGGTCAAAGGAGATTGTACCCAACCCAGGGATGGAGCTCTGCTTTTGTTCACTTTGTGCCCAGTTGATACCAGTTGAATAATGACTGGAGTATGCATGAAATGTCTGCTCATGGGGGAGCCCCTGGCTTCCTTCCTCTCTTCTCCCTCTCCTTCTGCCTATTGCCCGTGCGCTGCTCTTGTTACCAACCGTTTCTTTTTCAATCTTCTGTGCTAAGAGGGCTCGGGACTCTTCGTGGTCATGAGAGCTGGAACCTCGTCGTTCATAGTCTGCAAATGAGGGAGAGAAAAATGTATTTACTGTCAGAGTTTGAAAATAGGCTTCCTTAAATGCGGGGACCCATGGGATGGTAACTCCCAGCTTGGCTGGTTGGTCTTGGGTTATGGCAGCACCTCAGGAGATCAGGCAGAGCAGGAGGTGATCAAAGTGGCCGATGAAACCTTCCAAGGTCGCAGCAGCTGCCCGCTGACGCTCTGTGTTGGTACGTGGCCAGCTCTCCACAGGAGCAGTGAGCGGGTGCTGAAGGGCAGCCGGCTGCGGGCAGCACCCGGCAGGCCCCGCGCCCCGGCTGCTGCCGGTCACTCGCTCCTTTGCTGCTGAGGCATCTAAGCTGACTTGCGCCCGAAACGGAGCCATCGCTTGGAGCGCTCCACGGGTGTGTAAAGTGCGATTGGATTAACTCCCACTCTCCCTTCCAGCCTCCAGCTCTGCAGGAGCCGTGTCCCAGAGGTGCCACTTTAACTAAGCAGGAGTTGAGAGAGAAGAAGTAAGACCTGGAAGTGAACACAACTGGCGCTTGCTAGAAAGCAGCAGGCCAGGAATTCTGCGTGACTGACCTTCAGGCAGGCCTATGCACAAATCAGTGGTTTTGTCCAGACTCGTGTGCAGTCTCTCAGGTGTTTTTAATGGGTATTAAAAAAATCCTTCTGCAATAAAACCCCCCCCACAGGCACCTCCCAGCTGCCAGAAGACATCACCCAGCAAGGGGGTGATATTCCAGTGTGAACAATTGCTCGGGTGGCCTCTTGTGAAAAGAAGAAGGTGTCAGCTGGGTGACGTGGGGTTTGCAAGGGCCAGCACGGCGGGTGTTTGGACAGCAGGACGCACAAAGTGCAAGAACTGGGGAGACAGTTTTGGCAAAGGACCGTGAAAAATGTACGTCATCCGTAAGTGTTAGGATGAGGTGATTAGTTTTGACAGGTTTTGTAGAAAAAGCAAGAAGGCGTGTTTGAAAGCAGAAGCGATCTCAGCAAGCAGGCACCATTCAAGGCTTTCTCCTGTCACCTGCTTTCGTGCCAGGCTCTGTGTTCTCAGCTCCACAAGTCCTGCCTGGGTAAATGCCCAGCTGCGCTGATGTCAGCGCTGGATTGAAAGCTTTATGCTAAGGATCCCAGGAAGGGCAGAGTTAAGGGTGGCTGTTTTGTTAAAAACTGCTCTGCATCAGAATATAAATGCTTATACGTGGTCCAGCTCTGAAATACAGATCTTGTTTTCACTACCCAAAGCTGGACCTGAAAGAGGCTGCAGATCAGCTGCTCGGCTTCAGATCCCATCCCAGGGAAAGGAGCGTGTTCTCTCCTCAGCCAGTGTTTGGAGTTTCTTATAGTATCCTGATTACATGTTTTCCTTGAACCTAGAAATTAATCCTAAGAGAAGGTGGCGCAATAGGCAGCGATGAAAAAGGCTTACAGTTTGCTCATCGTTTTAGTCAATTTGAGCTTTTGTCAGAGAAAGAGCTTATTTCTATTACTTCTTTCTCCAAAGAGAAATGCAAGTTTTTTCAAGCCAAAGAGGCTGAAGTCAGCATGGTTTTGGAGTAAGATTTTGGATTAGCACATGAGAGAGGTGAGTTCAGATCTGCATTTCCACGATCAACTCTAGGAGAATTGGTGCAAACCACTTGATTTCTGAGGGTGAAATCTTGGCTCCTGTGAAGGCAGGAGGGACAGGAATTTGCTGTCTTGTCTGTACACGTTAAGATCACCCAGTGCCTGGTCCAAGCCTCACCTGGCAGCTCAGTTTTATGAGGGGCTTTCACCTCTTTGGGGAATTTCAGCATCGCCAGAATACAGGCGTTGTTACAAGGAGTTTCTGGGAGCTTTGGTTTATTGAGCGGCCATTGAGAAGATGGGTACTGCTGGCCTAGTGGGTAGAAATGTTTGCTGTGGCCCAATTTTTAGGCATTTATAAAGCACAGCCAGAGATGCCACAAAACGGTGTGCATTTGGTATGTGTCTGTTACCTTATAACACAGTGAAAAGACACGGGGCTTCCCTGTGTCCCAGCAACACAGGGCCTGAAATGACCTGTCTGGGCTAACGAGTCCCCTCTCCCCAGGACAGACTCGCTGAGTGCTGCCAGTACCTGGGTTGTGCTGGGAAGGTGGTGCCACCCGGTTCCTGTTCATCCCTGAGCCTCGCGTGTCGTGCTGGATTGGGATGGGTGCTGGCCCCTGCGGCGGTGGGAGGATGGATTGTCTCTGCTTGATCTTTTCTTGGTTTGCTCTGCAAGGGAAGCAGCAGAACAACCCTGTCAGTGGCTGCCGGTCCCGTTTCTGAGAGACTGGTGTGCGAAAGCACCGTTGGAAATGGGGCTCTTTGGGTTTTCCACTCCCAGCTCTCTCCTGCAGTACTCACTTGAGTGTCTGTGGTCGTATCTTCTTCCCGTGCTTGTGGTCTGCCAGGGCACTTTCTATGTCCTCGTGAACCATCTCCGCCTGAAAGATAAAAGAGGGATGTTCCTAAGAGCTTTGCTTTGGGAAGGATTGCGGGCTCTAAGTGGGCAAAGAAAGAAGGGGCTGGCAGACAGCTAGGAGCGTATTTTGTTCTCTGTTTCACGCCAGCAAGGAGGGCCCTGCTCACCTCCACCTCGTCGCAGTTGAAGAAGTGGATGTCAGGTTTGTGCTGCTCCGAATCCTGGCACACCAGGAGGAGGATGGAGGAATAGCGCATCTGGTTCAGCACTGTTTGGCAGTGCTGGACTGTTGGCAGAGGGAAGTCCTCCAGCTCCTCCTGGAAGAGAAAGAGGAAGGGGTCAGGCAATGGGGAACTATTGAATGGATGGGGAATGGTCCCATGAAGGAACTCCTGGGACCCCTGTTTGAGGAGAGAGACCTGGCAGAGCCTGTGCTTCCCAGCAGTGGTTTGCTGGGCTCTTCAAAGGTGGATGTAGAGGGGCAGTGGCTTGGGACTGCGGAATAGGAGAGAGGTGGATGGCAAACAGAGGGGAGGTCTTGTTCTTCTCCGAGCCCTGAGTAAGGGGCCCAGCATGAGACTTCAATAACTTGAGCTTTGTTGCTCACTGTCATCTTGTTGCTGTGCTCTGCCTACACCAGTATGCTTCTCGTGCGTCCCAGCAGAGCACCGGGAGGAAAGGTGCTTTCTGTGAGGGGCTTACCCTCCCACTGCCTCCTTGGATGGCCTTGTGCTAATATTCTTTAGTTTCTCATAGCTAAAATCAGGGCAGCACCATCCCTCTCCCACTATCTGGCTGCTCTTTCCCCTCAGATTAGGTGCCCTGGGTGCATGTACACGTATCACCTGACAAACTGGGGCGTTGTTCTCAGACTGGTGATCCCGGGTGTTATTTTAATACGAGTAATATTGTCCTTCCCTCCTGCTTATGCTTTCTGCAGATCTCTGTGCACCTGTAAGTCTGCATCACTCCCCCAGAAAGCAGTTTTACTGTTGGCCTGGAGCACAGCTCGAGCTGTCTTTCACCTGGAGCGTCTGTGCTCTGGAGCCGTGAATAAATCATCCCACACCCGCCTGCCCTTTGAGTGAGCCAGCCCCCGCACACCCAGGAGTGGATTTTAGTAGAGATTCGCCCTTGTTTGGGTTCCTTAGCCACGGCCCTCCCAGGCAGAAGGGGAAGGGCACCCACTGCACCCACGTGTGAACCCGTGAGTAGCTCTGGCAGAGCTCTGGGTACCTGTGACTCGCAGTCCAGCAGGCGAATGGACTTGTCATTCACTTGCAGCAGCATCTCCTGCGTCCAGATCTTCTCTTTTGAGTTGAGCAAGATGAGTTTTCGGATAGCATCATCCACCGTCACGATGGACTCGCTCTTGTCCATGATGAAGGTGGCCAAGTGCTGAAGTTGGGGCGAGAGGAGGAGAAAACAGGTGAAGAAGCTTTGATGGTGTGTGTACCGTAAATCAGTGGTGAAACCATCTCTAAAGGCTTGAACTACTGTTTGTTCTTCAGAGCACAGGCGTGAAAGAGGCCCTGCAGAAAGGGTATGTCCTGGTGGTTAGTGCCAGCCTGGCCACAGTGGTGAAAGATTAGGGTTTCGTAACGCAGCAAGGGTTTTCATAACAAGTTTCACCACTTGCATATTTATCTCATGTCAGTTCTAGCAGCTCTGGCCCCCATCCAGCAGCGCGTGTTTGCAGATGCTGCATGAGTTAGTCCCCTGGCTTTTCTGAAACTGGCTTGGAAGTTTAAATACAGTAGTTAAGCTTCACTTGCCAAGCTAAAAGCACTTGCATTTTGCTCCTCTCATGTAGCAGATCTCCCTGCGTGGAATTTGTCCCAGGCAATGAGCTCACACAAGCCGTGGGTAAATGTTGGTCCTCTCTGCTGAGGTGGGATCCGTGCGATGCGTGGGCTTTGGCCAGGTCCCCTGCCCTGGGTGATTTGACAGAGAGTTGCCGTGCTGCAAAGCTACCTGGTCTGCAAGACAGCTCAACCCTGGCAGCAGACTGCACCAGCCCTTCAACTCCCTCATGTTACTTTCCCCCCAGTAGTCCCCAAATTGACCTTCAAGGCAGTGAAAATTGGCATTGCTGACTGTAAGAAGCGATTTTTTTGCTACTTGCCTCTGTCCTGCGCTGTGGCTTTGCCAGATTACCCTGGTTTTCCTCCTTCCCTCTCTCCCTCCACCCTATAAACCCAGCCTAGTGCTCTGCCCGCTGCCAGCCGGCTTTCCTTGCTGTCCTCCCCTCTTGAGCTGCCTTGATGCATGCACTGGGGCCGGGAGCAGCTCGGGTAAGGTGACAATGTCCCACATGTGACTGCACTCGTCTGCTTTCCCATCCCTGCCCTAACTGTGGCCTGAAGCGTGCGACGATCCCAGCCTTGCACTTGGCACTCGTGTTCACAAAGTTTGTGTGATCCAGCTGCTTCTGCAGCTTTGGGCTGCTCCCGGAGCTCTGTGCGAGGGCAGGGCAGGGAGGCAGCTGCAGGAAGGAGAAGCGTGTCACATCCCAAGGGTGTGTGTGCCCCCCCAGCAGTGGGGGGAGGCCAGAAATCCAGGTATCTTATTTCTCTCCACTCCAGAGATCAGCAGCTGGTGAGAGCGAGCGCTGCTCTCTGCGGATGGGGAGAGCGGGCATCTCACCAGCAGAGGGGACTGCCAGGCAGGAGGAGCTGGGAGCTTTGCCTGCTCAGAGCAGCCAGGCTGTTTTCTGGGCAGTTGTCCCTGCGCGAGTGGCAGCACAGCCAGGCCACGCATTCAGGTGACAACAGGGCAGGGGAAAAAATTCAGGAAGGAAAAGGAAACGGTCCCATTTCACCTTGCTCCTCTGCTGCCCTGCTGTGTTCCTGGCGAGGAGAGGAGAAGGAGAATGTGCCTGACTGGGAAGGGGGCTGAGGCGCTTTATCCTCTGTTGTGAGCAGCTTTCTCCAGGAGAGAAAGGCAGGAGGGTTTCGGATGGGCAGGTTATAGGTTTGACCAAGATGTCTGTGCCACTGCTGGTCCTAGGGCCTCTCGCCAGGAGGTCCCAGCTCTTTCTCTCTTTGCTGGCGTATCGAAGGCCCCTCCACCAGCCTGCCCCTCTCGCCCTGCTTCCCCTGCTCAATGGCATTAGGGCAAATAGCGGGTTGCTGCTGAATCAGCTGTGGGTCAGCTGAAGAGCCCCGGAGGAGATTAACCCTTCTGGCAGGGAGACCCCGGTACCGGGGGCAGAGCAGATGCGTTACACGCGTTCGCTGGGGGCAACAGCGCGGCAAGCCCAGAAGGAGCCCTGCCGGGCACTGAGTGTGTGGGTGGGTGGCAGCAGCGGAGGCTCCTGCTTGTCTTTGGTGCAGAAATCCTGCAGCCCAGTTTGAAAGCAAGAGCTGGAAAAATGGGGTACAATTAAAGCAAGACACAAATTGGGGGTGTGAAATTTGGAGAGGCTCTTTGTTGCCTTCAGTGCAGGGATGAGTTTTGCCTGGCTTTTCTCCCTCTGATCCCTTGTCTTTGTGCCTTCTCCCAGTGGTCAGACATAACCTTTTCAGGGTTCAGGCAGTTTCTTTCTGGTGCTGACTCCTTGCTGCAGTGGTGCCGTATCGGGGGTCGGGGTCCAGCATGGCACAAAAAGGCAGTCTTTGTCCCAGAAGACTGGCAAGCAAGCAAAACATAAGAAGAGAAGGAGAAAGGGCTGGGGGGAAATCTGTCTGTTCCCAGCAGCGGTCTCGGCTTATGAGCGGATTAAATAACCCAAGGGGTAGTGTCCACGATCAGCATGTGCCTCGGAGGGCAATGGAGGAGGATGGGAGAGTTGCTTGGGAAGGAAGTCCTTTCTACCTGTAAAAGTGGGAAGCGGACTAAGAGGCAGCAAAAGCTGACCCTACTCCAGCCCCAGGGAGGGAACCAGCACTGTCCTGCAGTGGAAACAGGCTATGAAGGGCCCTTGGAGAGGCTGTGAACGCTGGGGTCTGGTACAGAGCAGATGGACCCCAGTGGGATGCGTGTCCTCGCAGCCTTGGGCGGTCGTGTCGAAGCACAGGCAAGAACCAGGGTTGCAGTCGGCCCCAGACAGGGTGGATGCAGGGGTAAGGCTCAGATTTAAAGCACTGGTAGCCCTGACAGGCAGAAAGGGCCGAGTCTTTAAACACGATGGTCAATGGTGGGAGTTAGGGGTGGAGAGGATTTGTGGTGACCAGTTTGTGAAGGTGGCTGTTGGATAATTCACAGAGAGCAGAGGATAAACACTGCAGAGTGTCAGACCCAATCCTGGGTTCGTAAAGCAAAGGTATGGGGTGAGGCACTGTCTAAACAAAACTCCTGGCAGGTATTTGAGCTGAAAGCTGAGATTAGCCGTGCAATCAGATATGAAAAACATGCTCAGGTACATGTTACTGTAATTGTAAAATAGTGCACGAAAAGGTATTCGCAAAGTCAATATTATCTGTGCAGAGGTGCCAAACCCTCTGCTTTCTGAGCAGTGAAGAGAATTGGTTTATACCTGATGACGGGCATTCTTATCTGTTCCATTATTTTAACTGCCAGGTTTACAGTCTTCATAAATTCCTTTGTTGTTTACTGTTAAGTAAGTTAATTTTCATGGAGGGGAAAGCTACTTGTCTGTCTTGGATTCATTAGAGTATTTTTTCTTTTCCATTTACTTTAGATACTGGTAGAGGGAGAGAAGCTTGCTACTGCCTTTGATTTATTTCATTAGAAACCCTTTTTGTCCAGGTAGATATTTAAATACAGTAGCTTTTGTAAGAATGGGCAATGACTCCATCCACTGTTAAACTTTGATCAGCTTATAGATTACTTCAAGAGGCATTTCACACACTCTGTGAGGAAACCTCTTCCTACCTCACTGCCTGCCTCTGGAATCCTGTTTGCCTTGGTCAAAGTTCAAGGTAGAGACTCACAAAATGGGTGGCATATGGCATATAATTGATGAAGAATTCATGTACGTGTCACTGTTTAAAGTCCCTTCTTGGCCTCCATGAATGACTTTATTTGGTAGGAGTCGCCGGTGGGGGTGGCTGGCAGGGTCGCCGAGGGGGCAGCTGGCCATCGAGTTAGTTTCTCCGATGGAAACGAGGGCCCCTTTCCAAACAGGTGTTTGTAAAAGTCTAAATTTCGTTTTAAGCAATGAACAGGCTCCTTTATGTCTAACTGTGTACTTAAGCTCTCTGTTGGAGCGGGGTCTTAAGCCAGAGAAGAGAGGGCCCTGTCTACCAAATAGGAACCTCGGGGAGTGTTTTCCTTTCTCGCCTTGCCCGGTTTTCAGTGACGAAAGGTCCAGCTGCCCTCAGATGGGCACCTCGTTCCCGTGCTGGCCTGCACCGGCGTGTTGCGTTACAGGGATCGCTGGGCCCGGGACGGCCAGTCTGGCTCCTCTTATTTGAGCGGATGTCTGTGACACTGGGAGATGAATTTGGCTTAATGCTTGTTGTGGTTGAAGGGTTTTGAATTACCTGAGAGGACACAGTAGCTGAGGGAGAGCTGAAAGATGATAGTCGACGTGATCTCTGCTGTTTGGGCAGATGAGTTCCTGTAAGCGCCACGGGAACCCTGTGTTTAACCTGTCTGTCCGTGCTGATCAAAAAGGGTTTGAAGCATGAGGTGATGAGAGGGACAGCAGCTCCCACTGCTCCCCTTCAAATGCAGAGGAGGGAGAGAGGACAACAGCTTCTCCATTTCCTTTTTCCTTGTAGAGAATTTCCTTTGTCTTTTTAACATCTTTTTTTTTCCCCCCAGTTCTCCTCTCCCCAATTACTCAACACTGTAATTTGCTGAATTTTGATTATTCAGAAAGGAAATATATTGTTGATAAATGATGGTTTCATATGCCTCTTTAAATTTAAAGTGGAAAAGAGGTCCATATGTAATTAAACCAACTTCACATTCTTTAATGACCATTTTTGTCCTCCCTTCTCATCAACGATGTCCCATCTGCAGGCTGTAATGACAGACAGTGTCTGGCTGAACAGGTTAGTGCTGGCTCTACAGCCCGTCCCCGAGATGGTGACCTCCCAAGCACATGTCACACCTCACAGCAAGAGGACCGAGTCGCTGACCTCAAAAGGTCCCTAGACACTGGCCCTAGATGCAGCCCAGCAAGGGAAAGGGGACAAGCCAGTAACTTCTGAGCCGTTGGTACAGGTCAGCACACTGGCTGTGCAGAGGGAGGACCTGTGAGCTACACCAGGGTTGGTTTGCTTGGGCTTTGAAATAATGCCATGCCATAACGGAACAACTGCTGCTGCTGCTCCAAAGCAAGGAGTTGGAGAGGAGCAGCAGAGGAGTAGAAGACTGCAGGAGGGCTGGTATTGGTTGCAGGCAGAGTGGGCAATGTGTTAAGAGGAAAGGATCCAGTCCAGCCTGAAACTTTGACTTGTAGGAAGGACTTGGGGTCAGTCTTGGGAGAGGAATTGTCTCAGGACTTGTGCTGCTCTCATAGTCCCTTAGTTTATCTCCTCCAAGTGTCTGTGGTGAAGAAATTCCTGTGCTCCACCTACACCTGCTCTTTACTTTCGTACCCTTTTGTGCTCGAAGGAATTGGAGGAGAAGCCCAGATGACCCCAGCTTCAGTAGCATGTTCCATGTGATTGAGAGGACTTGTGTGGTCTTGGCTCCTCGGTCCAGGCTGGCAGGACCGTGGTGACCCACAGCTCAAGGACGAAAACTACAGCGGGTGGCGAAGTCTGCGAGTGGGTCCTACAGTCCAGGGCTAGAACCAGAGAGTGCGCCTGGCTGGGTGGGATGCCAGGGGAGACCAGTTTATCTACAGGCATCGGGGAGCCAGGAACTGTAGAAAAGAAATGCGAGGTTTTTAGCAGCTTTGCTGTTTGCCTCTCGGGGTGGGAAGAGCGACACTTGCTTATTGTAAGGAGATTCCTGACTCCTCTTTGGCCTAACGGAGGTCCAGGGCAAACAGAACCCATTGCACCTATCGCTGACACTGGCTGTTTCCTTGCGTACTCACCTGTACGTGGTACTGTGAAGTCTCGTGCATAATGATGTTGGAGTTGGAGTATTTTTTCCTTTGTTCTGAAAAACAAAAAAGAAAGAAAAGAACTTGATTGTAGTGGCTGTCCATCAGTGTATCAGGGTCTGAGAATTACAGCTCTCGTGGCGGGGTGCTACGGTCTTTCTCATAGTCTCTGAGCTTCCAGCTTCAATTGAAGCGTTGGGAATAATAAGATATATTAATGATATTAACTTTGGCCAATCCTTGTTACAAATCAGGTGGGTAGGGGACACATGCAAGTTGTTTCCCTTCATGCTGCTGAGAATTTGATTCTTGGAGGCCAGCACCATTTGTGGAGGAAAGCCCCAGACCACAAATGATTAGGGCAGCTCTCGGAAGAGGGCTGGGGAGGCGAGGAGTGGCGTGAGAAGGTTGGCACAAGGCTGTAACATGCACATGGCAACAAAAGAAAAAATCCAGCCACAACCCACCAGTTTGGACATAACAGCCCTTTTAATCACCCTTCAGAAGAAACCCTCTGCCCTCCTGTCACCCTTCTAGTTTGCTTCCTTGCCTCTCCCGGTGAGCCGCAGTGAAGGGCTGTAGTTACAGATGGGAAGGGCTGTAGGGACCAAGGCAGCCAGGCAGAACCTCAGTTTCTTGTCCAGTATTTTTATGAGGCAACAAACCTTCGTTACTTCCTGCATTTCTGGCTGGAAAGTGGCAGTAAAGAGCGATTGGGGAAAAAATGGCTTGGAATTTCATGAGGCTATTGAATATGATCCTACAAGAATTTACCTTGCCAGCTCTTTCTTGCTGTTTAATTGGTGTTTGTCCAGGAATTCCTTAGAAATACTCTGCTTGAATAGCAGAGGAGTAACTATCCAGGCCCAGAGTGATCTGGGAGCATCCAAACTGAAAGCACCTTCCTCGCCAGCAGAGGACATCCATCCACTGCTCCCTGGTTTGCTTTGAAAATGCAATGGCAGTTTTAAACGTTTTCGCCCTTCTTAAAGCCTGTGTCAGAGGATCCCGTCCTCTGCAGCAGCTGTCACAGCCAGGGGGGTTTCATAACCCAGCGAACATTAGGGCTCCCTGTGTTTTGAATAAGTGTATCTTAATCTTAGTTTATTTGTGGTTTACTTCAAAGCTGGCTTTAATGCCTTCCCGGGAATGTTGGCTTCTCTCTCATTTTCCTCTTTTCTTTGAACACGGGACGTGTGGTCTCATTTAGCAAATTTCAGATTAAAGGGGCTGGCACCTAGAAAATGAATATCCTCCTAGGAACTCATTGGGTCATTTTCCAAATTTTTTTTTTTAAAAAAAGCATCTTTTGGTGAGGTGGTAAAGACCAATGTAAAACTTTCTGAAGTGTTCCCTTAGTTTATGTTTTTAGTGGCATGTCACATTTCAGTTGACAAACACTCCGCAAAGACTTGCAAGAAACACTGATAGTATTTCTGATTGCTAAAAATCGAACCTCTCTTTGTAATCAAAAGACTGTTGCTTTTTTTTTTTAACAAAAACAAAAAGGAAAACTGAAGCCAAGTCTATTTCCAAGTGCCCATAGTGAAGTGAATATAAAGCAGAGCAAGAGCAAGACAGTGACTGGAAGGGGCTGGGGCTGGGAAGGAGCTGTGGGAAGGAGCAGTGTCTGCTGCAGTAGTGACCGTCCTGTGCTGCCCTGGTTTGGGGCTGCGAAATGCCAGTCAGGAACAGAGTGTCCCCTGTGACAAGATCAGAAAACAACCCCCAAAGCACTGCTCTGGAGCTTTAGCTTAGTCCCGGGGTTGTCCTGGTAGTCACTTCTCACCTGAATAGCTGTTGTTTAAACCTCCTGCCAGCAGATCCTGTGCAAAGGGAGGAGAAGCTGCCCTGAATCTGCTGCTTTCCCAGAGAGTCGACAGGAGTTAAAGTACCTTATAGGCATATAAGTGCCTCCTTGGCACTGATTGCCAGGATTTCTGCAAATGTCCTTCCTCATGAGTGTGCACACCCCTGCACGTAACGTGCAGCTTCACGCCTAGATTTTCCCTGCCTAGAACAGGACGGGATTTTGAGCCGACCCATCCAGCCCCCAGAATGCTCCTGTTTCACTTTACTTTGATGTAGCTCACACCTAGTGGGAATTTGGGGTTTCTTTGACTGTCCTAAAATCAGAGTGCTGGCCGGGAGGGTGGTTAAAAACTGGTTAGGATGGAACCAGCTCAGACCTCTTGGGTGTATTACCCTGCAGGTCTTGGCACTGTTTTCTTGTGAAGTGTCTGTCGGGTGCTCTCACCCCCGTGACCTGCCCTGGTTTGGGGCTGTGAAATGCCGGTCAGGCACGAGGGGCGGTGGAGTTGGGACCCCAGTAGCGTGAACCTTTTCCCCAGACTCCCCTTACAGCCCCATTACACTTTTATTTCCACTTGGCTCCCGTGGAAGGAGGGTGAGCGTGTCCCTGAGCTCAGCTCGGGCTCGGCGGGCGTTGCCAGCAGGTGTCTCTCCAGAACAAGCCCTGGCCCCAAAGGCTGCCTGCCTTGGGATTTTCACCTCTCTCCTTGGCCAGCACAGAAGAGCTTTTAAATTGAGCTCCTCTTGGTACTTCTCTAAAGACGCAGGGCTGAGCACTGGCAGCAGACCTGTCCACGGCTGCAGGAGCGTGCTCAACACGCACAGATAGCCCAGAGACAACGAACGCTGAAAGAGATGCCACGGCGTTTGTTCGGGGCCTGGCAAGGGTCGGTAGAAGCTGGTTTCAAGCTGATTTCTAATGCTCTTTAACGCTTCTCTAACGCCCTTTAAAGCCTGAGGTGTGCCATCAGCTTGGCAGGACAACCGAGTGCTTTGCACCTCGTATCTCTGTGACTGAAAACACAGCAGTGCTGCTTTGCCTCTGCGGCTGATTCCTGGCAGCCCTGAAGTGGCTGCTCTTCGCAGGTAGAAATGATTTATTGGTGGGCGCGCTGGCAGGGGCGTTAACGGGGAATGCGGGTCTCCGAGCTGGTGCCTGTTACACCACCAGCACCACCTCAGAGGTGGAGTGAGCATAGTTAAGGGGGAAAGACCTCAGACACCCAGCACAGCCATTAGCTTCCAAAGTGACCTTGACTAAATTAATATTTCAGCACAGCCACTTCCCACCTTAGGCTCGTGTTGAAGGGTCAATGGCACTTTCTGTTTGCTGTGTGTTTTAATTGCAGCCTGCCCTACTTGAGATGTGGGGCAAGGTCTGCAAGAGGGCACACGGCAACACACACCGCAGGGATTTGTGTCTGATGTGAGTAACGTTTTTTCTCCTCTCAGTAACCTCAATTTCCTCACCAAGCATTTCTCATGTAAATAGATGACACTAATGGAAATGAGAACACCACTTTCTCTGTGGGATGGAGATGAATTTGGATTTTAAGACTTCCCGTCCTCTCCTTTTTAGAAGGGAGTGGAAAACGCTGAAGTGGTCAGTCTGGAAACAAAGGGGTTTTACATGAGGATAGGTAAACGTCTCCAGCCCTGAAAGGAAGGGTGCAGAGCCGTGTCAAGAGCTGGTAGTCCCTGAGGAAGGGAAGGTAATACGAGGGGGATGAGGTTTCCAGAGGGAGGCTGGCAAAGGACTGGGTTTCTGATAGAACAGCCTACTAGACTATAGGCTGGCTTTCTGGTAGGAGAAGCAGCCCATGGAGCTGTAGCGATGGTCAGGGCTGTGCCTTGTTGCCTACAGCCTTTCTCGGGTCCACTCTGATGCCTTTGCCCCATCCTCCAAGCTCAAAGAAGCTGCAGGTGTCGTGGTCAGGGGAGATCTCGGCAATGCAGCTCTGAGAAGATGATTGGAGAAGCCCTTGGGAATTTGGAGGACCTGTTGAAACCTCAGAGCTCTTCATAGCCCCATTTCCCATCATCTGGACTGGGGGGATTTCTGCATTACCTTTAAAAGTCTCAGAACTAGAACAAAGTGCCTCTGTTTTGTCTCGGGATGCCATTCAAGTGACGTCCCAGAAGCCGCCCAGGCTGAGGAAGGGGGTGTTTCTGCATATTCTCTTTCCTGTCCCTTTCTTTAAGACGTTTGCTCATTCCTTCTCCTCAAATCCCTGCTGTCTCCTTGGCTTCTACCTGGTCCCCACGCCCATGGAAACTTTTATTTTTGTGTTTCCTCCTGGCATCTGCAAATATAACCACACGGCCTGAAAACAGCCAGGCTTTCCGGGGACAGCAGGGTGCCAAAACACTGAAATCTCTTTTCCTAGCATTTAGTTGTGATTTAAACACAGGAAGAATTACAAGATCCAGGCTGCAAATCACAAAATAGTGGGTCTTAGGCCACATCTACCTGAGAAATGTAGGTGCTTTAAAAAAAAAAGAGGGATTTTTTTGTTTGTTTACTTCAAAGCAATGTGGTGCAGCATTGCAGACCTTTCTGTGGGTGCATCGTTATTTGCCCTGCCTTAAATCTGTCTCTGGTCGTGGTGGGCTGGACCGAAAAACTGAACTATGTGTGCAAGGAGATCTGTGGCTGTTTGACTACGGATCAAGGGGGACCCTTTACGTTAGACGGGTGAACTCCCTTGGCCAGAAAAGACTTCAAAGACAAGCCACTTGTCCTGGGTGGCTCCCACACTGCCCTTCTGCACAGCCCTGTCCTCTGTCTGCTTAATTTTGTATGAATGAATGCTGGCTCGTTAGCAGCAGTAGCTAATTTCCTCCGGGTTTATCTGACACCTCTCGCTAGGACGCTTTGCATTTCTAAAGCCTCTTGCTGTGGAGAAGAGGGAGCAGCGAGGTGTTATCCAACCCCTACCCTGGCCCCAGGAGGCAGAGGGTTTGCATCATCGCCGTGAATAAGCATCACAGGAATACAGCGATGATTTTCCCCAAATTAGATGGCAGCTGCTGTTGGAGCTTAGACACCAATCTGCACCCCCGTTTAAATGAGTTGTCTTCTGCTCTGCCCTTCGGAGGCGGAGGACTCGTTGGATACAACACGGGATACAAGAGCAACGATGGGTAATTAACAGTCGCGCCGTTGCTGAGCCCAAACACTTGTGTGAATGGTATTGGGTGATCCAGAAAGTTTTGAATGACTCGAGTGTGGATGCCATATGGG